AGGGCAACAAAAATGATTAGGGGTCTGGAACACATGACTTATGAGGAGAGGCTGAGGGAACTGGGATTGTTTAGTCTGCAGAAGAGAAGAATGAGGGGGGATTTGATAGCTGCTTTCAACTATCTGAGAGGTGGTTCCAGAGAGGATGGTTCTAGACTATTCTCAGTGGTAGAAGAGGACAGGACAAGGAGTAATGGTCTCAAGTTGCAGTGGGGGAGGTTTAGGTTGGATATTAGGAAAAACTTTTTCACTAGGAGGGTGGTGAAACACTGGAATGCGTTACCTAGGGAGGTGGTGGAATCTCCTTCCTTAGAAGTTTTTAAGGTCAGGCTTGACAAAGCCCTGGCTGGGATGGTTTAATTGGGGATTGGTCCTGCTTTGAGCAGGGGGTTGGACTAGATGACCTCCTGAGGTCCCTTCCAACCCTGATATTCTATGATTCTATGATTCTCTTTTGCTGCTTGTCCAGCCAGGCAAGGGCTGCCAGTCCAGGGGCTGGGATTGCTGGAGCCTTGGCAGAGCCTTCTACAGCTCCCCTTGCTGTTTCACCAGCCACTGCCGGGTCCCCTCCATGGTCCAGGCTGCCAAACTCCCCCACTGGCTACGGATCCCAGCCAAACCTCCAAGTGGGAGGGGGATGGGGTGTCCCACTCCTGTCTCTTGTCACCGCTCAGAGACCTTCTTCTGGCCAAGCATCTCATGGTTTATTTCACCATGTTCTCCTCCCCACCTGCACAAAGTCATGCTGCTCTGTATGTACAATATCATACAATCATTAGCTCTTTCAGCCAAGGATGGGGGATGGTATTTTCCCTGGGGGAAGATCGCACCTGAGTCTGACTGAAAAGCCTGCTTCTCTCTGTCCCCCTGTGCACGTCTTCCTGTGCCTTTTCTACGGCTTGGTTAATTGGCTAATTAGCCTGTGGGGCTCTCCTCAGCCCATCCCAATCCACTAATTAGCACAGCCCTTTTAACCAGGGATACTCCAGAGCAACTACTTGTAGTGAGCAGCGTGCTGCATCAGTTGTATGGCTCCTCTCATCCCCTAGCAGCTATTGGTGTGTAAAATAATGCAAGAATGGCTACACATAGCCCACTGCTTCACCCATATAGGGCATGGCTCTCTCTCCCAGCTATGGGCCTGACCTAAGGGGACATGGCATGCAGGACAGCTACCCCTCCTGCTCTTAAAGCAGTGGCTCTCAACCTTCCCAGACTGCTGTGCCCCTCTCAGGAGTCAGATCTGTTTTGTGTACCCCAAATTTCACCTCACTTAAAAACTACTAGCTTATAAAATCAGACATAAATTACCAAGTGTCACAGCACAGTATTACTGAAAGATTGCTACTTTCTCATTTTTACCCTACAATTATAAAATACATCAACTGGGATATAAATCTTGTGCTTACATTTCAGTGTGTAGCATAGAGCAGTACAAACAGGTCATTGTGTGAAATGTTAGTTTGTACTGACTTCGCTAGTGCTTTTTCTATGGTAAAACTAGGCAATGGTGTAGCTGAGTTGATGTACCCCCGGCAGAGCTCTGTGTACCCTGGTTGAGACCCCCTGCCGTAAGGGATGTGCTGTGTCCTGTAGCCCAGGAGAAGCCTCCGAAGCATTGACCAGTAGCCCCACAGAGCCCAGCCCTGAGGCACACCCAGGAGTCTGTCCGCAGAGGCTGAAATGCAGCCGTCGCACTCCCTGTAGGCCCTGCCCTGGGTGGCTGGGTCGCTCTGACAAGGTTAGGCCCAGAAGCCCCAGCTCAGGGGCATGGCCCACTTTGCTGCCCTGGTTTCTCTTTGCTGACTGACCACAGCCACCCAGAGCCAGGCATGGCCCTCCTGAGCCTGCGTCCTGCGGCTGCTTACAAAGTGATGCTCACCACAGCCCTGCCTGCAGGCTCAGCAGGGGCTTTCCAGGCCCCAGCTCCCCTACTGCCGAGTGTCATCCACAGACCCAGGGTTCAGCTGGGTTCAGCCAGAGCCTGGCAGGAAAGGGCCATTCAAGCGGCTGGGCGCTCGGCCCGGGGGGGGGGGGGGTGGCACTGCCTCTGTCATTGGGTTTGTAAAGGAGGAGGAACCAGTGGAAAGTTTCAGCAGATGGGAGCAGGAGGCAAAGCAGGGAGGGGAAGAAGCAGCAGGGTGAGGGATTTAACAGCTGTATTTACCCGTCACTGGAGAACCGGCTCTTCCCAGGCTGGGCACAGCACCCTCTGCTGACGTGACCCAGCATCCATGTGGCCCCATAGCAGTGGGGAGGGGGCCAGCATGGGGCTTTCAGGCTACAAGACATGTTAGTAAACAGCGACATTCCGAGCCTTGGTCACGTGGATGGAAGCCACGGGGATGTGTGCTGTGCAGGGCTGTGCAGCGGGTTCCTGGGGGGGGGGGTGTTACCCCACAGACAATTCCATCGAGTAACGAGCTCTCGCTGCACAGGTACTAACCGGCAGCGACAAAAGGCCAGGTCACAGTGAAACAGCATAATGCCCTGGGGATTCTCCAGCACAGCCTCTCTCCCGGATCCCTGCCCAGCCATACCACCTCCTCATGGGCCCAGGAGCCATGGCAGGCAAGGCAGAGCCTTAGGCACATGCCACAAGGAGCCCAATAGCCCCACCCCAAGCCTTGGAGTGGCAGCAGGTTTTGGAATTCACCCCCCTTGGAGCAGTCGGTGCAGGCTCTTTGCAGACTCAGGCACGAGTCAGTTATACTCCGGTTACATGTTCAAGCTTTTCTTTACATCCGGGGGGCTAGCAACAAAGTTTGTTTTTTAAATGAAAGCTGAGATTCTGGTCTCGTCAAATGACACCAGGAGCTGGGCCCGTGACTTGGGCTTTTAGTGTCTCCGCCTTAGTCTGGCCCTGCCTGGGGCAAGCCAGGCTGCTGGGCTGAGGAGACTCCTTGCCTCTGCCCTTGGTGTTTTGCAGTGAGCACCGTAACACCTGGCCCATTCCACCGGGGTTCGGAGCCGCCCTTCTCCCTCCTTGGCCGGGGAGTTGCTGCTCTGCTGCTGGCCCACACAGCCCACCAACTTGTGCGTGAAGGGCTCTGGGAGAGCAAGAGACGCAGCAGGCCCTTCCACATATGTATGCCCTGGGCCAGTGACTCCCCAGACAAGCAGGCTAACCCCACCTTACTGAGGGCAGGCAGAGGCAGGACCAGGCCACAGGGCCAGGACAGGGTGCCGAGAAGGAGAGCAGCCAGTGGACCAGGGCTTTCATTCCAAAGCAAATGAGGCATATGCAGTGCAGGCGGAGGGGAGGTTGCTGCTTACAATCTGGTGTGTTTCTGCTGTGCGGTGTCCTGTTTTTAGGTATCTCAGACCCGCTTGCCCTTCCCACCAGGGACTGTGTGTGCTGGGTTATTTCTTCTTGAAAAACCATTGTTCTCCTGGTCTGGGGAGGTTGGAACTAGTTCAGACCTGGCTGTGCTCTGACGTGGCCCACAGCCAGTGCCCCACTCACAAGACAAGCCATTTCTGAGAATCTCTTTTTTGCAACCAAAACATTTCTCATTTCCTTTTCTCTCTAAACTCAAAATGTGTCACAGAGCTTTGGCTTGAACCTGCCCCAAGAGTTTTCCAAGGTAGGTGAAGTTGGGGGATCTCAGTGCTATTGACCTGTTTTTGTAATCTGTCCAATTGTCTGAAAGCAGAACCCCAACTCTGGTCATCTCAAATCCAGCCACACCCTCTACCATCTCCATCTCTCAAACACCAGATCATCTCAAACTGCCCCATCACTCAGACACTTGGGCACGAAGTCCTCAGCCCCCAGAAAACTCCAACCAGTGCCAAATGCTGCAGTGTGTCTCAGCAACACGGGCTATCAGGAGCATGTCACACCTGTCCTCCTCTCCCTGTGTTGGCTTCCCATAGAACATAGAGTTGAGTTCAAGATCTTTGACCAGATCTTCACTGTGCTCAAAGCCCTGGGTGCAGGATATCTAAAGTTCCAGGAGCCAAAAGTTCTGGGCCATGGACTGGTTGGCAGCTCTGCTCTTCTGATGCAGGAGAACTGTTCACCACCAGAATAAAGTCCCTGTTTGTGGCATGAACTCCCCCAGGAACTAAAAGCTAGCACTGACCTCACCACATTCTGTTCTGAGTGCCTGGCACACTTCCCCAGCCTGCCTTTGTTAGTACAGACCCAGAGCACCATGCATGTGTCAACTGATGCTTTTTTTTCTTTCTTTCTCCAAATCCCTACGCAATTTCCTGCTAAGAGCGAAAGGGATAAAGAACACACCCCATGCAGCAGATGTCAGTTAAATGACTTCATGCACCGGAAGGCAGAGGAGGAGGGCAGGATAAGAACCTGAACAGAATGGAAAGCTTTACAGCTCTGATATGGGGGCCTCAGATGGGAAATCAAGAAAGCCCAAACTGAGCAGGGGTCCCCAATCTTCTGCACCGTTCTAGCATCTTAGACTGATCCCAGATAGCAAAATGCTAAGTACAGGTGTGAACTGGCTCACGATAACTGCTCATCATTTAAAAACTCCTTACACAATGTTCTTCCAATTTAACTTATTCCTACAAATGCACCAACACCTACAAACCCAGACAAGTTTGGCATTTCTATCTTCAGTCATTGGCATTATCCAAGCACAATGTATGGGAGAGAGGGCATTCTGGATGCACACATAACCCCAAAGCAGTGAGCCAATTTAGCTGAAAAATTAACATAAATCCTCTTCTGTGGGTTATAAAGGCAGGGACTTGAGCCTCCTCTGTAGCACATGCTCCCCACATGCCTAGACCAGAGAATGTATGTACATGCTGCAGTCTGAAACCCCCACCGCGCCTCAGGAATCCTCCCTGGTGGGTCAGCCATTCTCATGCTCCCCTCACACAGCGTTGGCTTTGCGATACACTTCTTTTAAAGTGTGGGCTAGTGGGCAGAGCAGGGATTGGGAGTCAGGGCTCCTGGGGTTAGTCCTGATTCTGCAGCTGAATTGAGCAGGTCACTCAATCACAAAATGTGCTTCCCCTGGTAGGCGTGGAGTGCATAGTCTTCAACGATCAGTACCTGACCTGTATGTGGGGCAGCAAAGCGACACTGACAGCCAATTACTCGCTCTATTACTGGTACATTCCCCCAAGGTAGGTGACTCTTCTTTGGGGCTGGGCTACTCTTACCTCGTCCTGTGGGTTGTGTTCCACGTTAGCATGACCCAAGCAGACAAGTGCAAGGCCAGTAACCATCCTCCAGGAAGTGCGATGGGTTCCCCAGCAGTGCTCAAGTCCCTTGTTATGCATTATGGGGCAGTCTTTGTGCCCAGCCTTAATGCAGAGCTGGAAGCAGTGGGAAAGTTTCCCAGTCCTGCCACCAGTGAGGCTGGAGGTGGGGAGAGTGGCTCTGCCAGGCAGTCCTGTGGCACTAGATCACAAGAGGGAGTGGCTGAGACGGGGCCTGTAGGCAAGAGGGCACGCTGCGGGCGGTGCCCGCGGGCTGAGGGGAGTGAAGAGCAGAGCTCTCCTGCTCTTGGCACTTCCCGCAGAGTCCCTGATCCCACCAGGGAGGGTCCCTAAGAGCCAGACTCTGAGGCTCAGGGAGCTAGGGCACTGCCGCAGCAGAACCCCTAAGAGGCCAGCCTGGCAGCTTCGGGAACCCTGGAGAGTGCTTGTTTCATGCCATCCCAGGACTGAGCCCTCCCTGCCTGACACGCAGGGCCATGCTGCTAACGGCACCCAATGGGGAACAGGCTTCTCTCATGGGCACTTCATGTCTTCTGTGACACCACCCTTGGAGCCCCAAGTACCTGGACAGGCTGGGGTCTGCACCTCAGCCTAGCCTCCAGTCTAAATAGAGCCAGTGAATTCCCCATTGGGTGACACAGAATCGCACCAGCGCCTGTCTAACAGTGCCAAACCTGCTCCTCAGCCCCAGAACCAAGCCCAGAGCAGAAGGTGCATTCAGAGCCCTCCCCAGGCACACGGAAATCCTGAGAGAAGAGGTGCATTGCACCCAGCACAAGGACTGGGGGCTGGAGTGCACAGCAGAGATCATTCAAAAAGCAGAGCTGAGGGCAGCATCCAAGGACCCCAGCTTTGCAGTTTTCTGCTGTCCTTGATTTCTGAGCTCTCCCCGTAACCCGCTCTGTGCCTTAGGAGTGAAAATCACATGCCAGTTGAGGAATGCAAGCACTACCTCCAGGAGGAGGGCATCAACACGGGCTGCTGGTTCAACCACAGTGAGATTATCCAGTTCCGCCCCTTCTACATCCACGTCAACACCAGCCATGGGGGCAGGAGCCTCATCATCCCCACCAAAGGCATGAAGCTGCAGGACCTAGGTATGGAAGAGCACAGTTCCGACTGCACCAGCGAGCTGACACCCATGGTCCATGCTGGTGCAGAAGCTCCATACAGGACACTTCCTCCCCCACTCTATGGTCCCAGCCCAGCGGCCACGGTACATCAGGAATAGGTGAAGGGAGGCTGTCACTATCGGCCACACACTCCTTGGGGGCCAGTGGGATGACAGGGAGGAGAGAAATAACAGGTTTGCGTTATTCCAAAAATTCTTGCTTCATTAGGAGGCACTGTTGTCCCTCAGTCCCAATGGCATCTCCTGGGTCAAGTCATATTTGATGATTACGGAGCAGCAGCTGTTTCTCAGCAAAGGAGAAGGGTTCACATTATAAACTCGGGTTCCACTCCCTTGCCCAACTTCCCCACAAAGATGCCAGTGCCCTGAGGTTTCACACGCCCCCTCTCAACCCAGGGTGCCAGAGACCCAGGTGGGGTGAGAGACACAGGAACTGGCCAGCCCCCTCCCCGTTCTGATGCCTGAGGACTTTACAAAGATGTTGAATTAGGGTACGGAAAGTGGGCTGTTGTTGAGTGTCAGCACCACTCACTGAAATGTCCTGGTGCCCTGAAAGGGTCAGCATCAGCTGGAACTTTGGGAAATAGACTAGTTAGAGACAGCGGTTTTCCGATCGAGCCCCTCTGAATCCCATCACCTGGCACTTCTAAATGTTCCCTGGAAAAGAACCAGTGAGGGCTTGTAATGGGTCTTCTACTCTCTGCTGGGGTGCCCCCTTGTGGCTGCACCCAGAGATTAGCTCTGCCCTATCTGATGCCCCCTTCCTTTGGTCACTCACACCACAGCCCCTCTTGCTCTCTGGAGTCGCAGTGCTTCCTCTTCGTGGCTTGGCCCTCCAGCCAGGTCACTACAGTTTGCCCTTCCCGGGTAACGAAGGCACACTGGGCCAGCTGTCTGGGTGCCATTCCAGGCAGTCTTCCCAGTTCAAGATTGTGCCACTAAGTAGTTAGTAGGGGACCCTACAATCAGTAGCCACAGTCTGCATCATCTCTACCCGTGCTGCCATATCCCTGGGCCTCGTCCCACTCTGCCCTCCACAGGCTTCCTTCTCCACCAGCCCTCGGGGTAACCCTGTCCCTCAGGGTCAGGTTCCCAGGCTTCTGCTCCCCACACCAGGTTTCCTCCTCTCCTCACTAGGTCCAGAGAGTGGCTACAGCCCCTTTGGCTCTCATGTCCGAGCTTTATACCAGCCCCCGCTCACTCTGCCAGCTGGGATCCACTGTCAATCAGTACTCGGCAGCCAAGCCTCAGTCTCCCTTCCCCAAGGTGCAGCCTCCCATGTTAATTAGCTCCTTCTGAGCTCGTGTAGCCCTACAGGGCTGGTGTGGGGTGAACCAAGGGCACCGGAGCTCTCCCAAAAGTGGGGGCCCCCCGCCCCTCCCCCTGAGGCCCCACCCCTGGGGTGGGCCAAGAGCAGCCCCTGTCCGCCTCCTATGCCCCCCGCTCAGGGCAGGTGGAGGGACCCAGGCTCCCCACAACTGCCCACGTGGCTCTCCCCAACCCGGCTCCGGCGGTGGCAGCCTGGCCATGGTAAAAGCTGTGCGGTCAGTTGTGAGACCCTCCACCTGCTCTGGGTGGGGGAACCGGGGGGCAGGGACATGGCCCGGGGGCAGTTCTCAGCCTCCTCGCTCCCAGGCCGGTGTCTCCCTGCGCAGGCCCCATCTTGAGAGGAATTCACCTCAGTGCGCCTAGGCCTCATCTGCCCTGGCGGGGGTGAAGAGCACCTGTTGACTACAACCATACAAGTGAAGTGGCTCCCTGTCCAGGGCATGGGGCATCCCAACTGCCCCCTCCATCCCCTTCCCGCGATCTGGGACTCTGGGGCTGGGGCAGCAGGAATGGAGCGGGACTGGCTGGCACTGCAGGAGCACCTAGCCCCGCTCCACATCCAGCATGCTGGGACGCCCCCCGAGCCAGAGTACTGTCTGTCTGTTGCAGTGAAACCCGCTCCACCTGTGAACCTGACCATCCAGAACATAAGCAATAACCAGCTGCAGCTGACCTGGGACTCCATGTACCTCAAGCCCCTCTGCTTGGAATATGCTGTCAAATACAAAAGCAACCAGGACACCAGCTGGACGGTAATGGCAACCAGCAGCCTGGCCCTCCTGTGGCCACCCAAGGCAGGGGCAGCTCAGAGGGGGGCCCCAAGGGCCACAGCCTGTCATCCGCTGTGACCTTTACCCCAGGGCTCACATTCACTGGTCCCCTGCCCTTCCCAATCCCCCATGTGCTAAGGGCCATGCCAGCCTGGGGCTAAGGTGCTGCTGCTTCACTGCACCTCAGGATTCTTCTGGCTTTAAAGCACCCTTCACGTGACCCAAATGCCCCATCTCAGGCTGCAGGCCCCAGCCCATTCTCCTCCTACCCACCACTAACACGTTCTCTCTGGGAGCCCCTCAGCCACCTGGAAGCACAGCGCTGCCCGAGGGCCAGCTGAGAGCCTCCTACGCCACACATGACCTGGGGAGCAGCACAGTCCCTGCAAGGCTCCGGGTGCTGGGACTTATAGGCAGAACGAGGTTCCTTGTGCCCTTGCTGTGCCTATAGCTGGCTGAAACCAGGCGCACCGGGGAATGGGCATGAGCCCATGCCAAGCAGGGGACAGGGGTTGAGCCTGTAGTTTGTGGACATGGAAAGGGGAGGGAGACTGTAGCAGGGCTGAGCTCCATTCTCCACTCACGTGTGGCAAGCCCAGCCTTGAGGAAGCCAGGCCACATTTCACAGCAGGCACTCGGAGCATCTCCTTGTGTGCCAAGCTGCCCACACGGTCTCACGTGCACGGGACCTTCTGTCTCTGCCCCAGGAGCACTTGGTCAGTGGCAAGATCTTCTCCTTCCCTAGCGTGGACTACGAGAAGTATTACACCTTCTACGTGAAAAGCAAGATCAATCAGTACTGCGGCACCACCCAGCTCTGGAGCGAGTGGAGTGTCCCAGTGTTCTGGGGCAACAATGCAACAGACCAGGGTAGGTGACACCCCTCGCGGCCACAGTTTCCCAGCTGGTCCCTGGCCCTGGATTGTTGCTAAGGGGCATCCTTGACCCAACAAGAGAGAAGATGTTAATTATTATTATTATTTGTAGTTGCATAGTGCATAAGCACCGACTCCATGGGCCCACAGCTGTCCCAATATTCAGGTGGGAAGGTGAGGCGGGAGGGCGAGCGGGGTGAGGAGGTGAACGGGGAGGCGAGCAGCAGGCGGACAGGCAGGAAGGGGGTGAGGAGGCGGGCAGACGGGGGCGGGATGTGCGCTGGGTGGACAGCAAGGAGACCAGTGGGGAGGCGAGTGGGAGGCTGATTTGTCCCGGACCCGCACCCCCCTAGGGACAGCCCTGCTAGTGCCGACAGGAGAACCCCTCCGTCTGCGTAGACAGCAGGGCAGCGGCAGCGTTTCAAGCAGAGCCAAGCGCCGAGACAGCCTTGGGCAGCACGGCAGGCCGCCAGCCAACCTTGCCGAGGTATCTGTAGGCATCCCGGGAAAGGGATCTGTAAGGGGATAAGGCTGGAGCTTTGCAGCTGTTTCTGGGGAGGCCCTGCCGAGCAAGAGGGGCTGCCGGGGGGAAGCGCCAAAGGGCTTGGTTGTAAATGTGACAAGTGGACAATGGAGGCTGGCCTCACAAGCCGGTGGCACCAGCATCGGTGGCTTGATAGCAAATGAGAGGAGAGTAGGGTTGCCAACTTTCTAATCACACAAAAAACCTAACACCCCTTCCCCATGGCCCCGCCCCTTCCCTCCCCCAGGCCCCACCTCTGTCCCACCCCCGCCTGCCAACCCCGGGAGAATGACAAGGGCCCAGGGGCCCCCGGCCACCATCACCACCGGCAGTGCGGTGGGGCTAAGGAGGCTTCCTGCCCGCCCTCGCTCCACACCGCTCCCAGAACAGGCTGGCATGTCCCTGGGGCCCCGGGGAGGGGGGAGTGTCTCCGTGCGCTGCCCCTGCCCTGAATGCCGACTCCACAGCTCCCATTGGCCAGGAACTGCAGCCAATGGGAGCTGCAGGGGCAGCGCCTGTGAGCAGCGGTGCGCGGAGACCCCCCCCGGCCTCTCAGGCAACAAGCCGCTGCCAGAGGGATGTGCAGGTCGCTCTCAGGAGCCACCTGAGGGAAGTGCCGCCCCCCTCCTGCACCCCAACCCCCTGCCCCAGCCCAGAGCCTCCTCCTGTTCCCAAACTCCCTCCCGGAGCCTGCCCCACACACCCCCTCCTGCACCCCAACCCCCTGCCCCAGCCCAGAGCCCCTTCCCGTACTCAAACTCCCTCCCGGAGCCTGCCCCACACACCCCCTCCTCCACCCCAACCCCCTGCCCCAGCCCAGAGCCCCCTCCTGTTCCCAAACTCCCTCCCGGAGCCTGCCCCCACACCCCCTCCTGCACCCCAACCCCCTGCCCCAGCCCAGAGCCCCCTCCTGTTCCCAAACTCCCTCCCGGAGCCTGCCCCCACACCCCCTCCTGCACCCCAACCCCCTGCCCCAGCCCAGAGCCCCCTCCTGTTCCCAAACTCCCTCCCAGAGCCTGCCCCACACACCCCCTCCTGCACCCCAACCCCCTGCCCCAGCCCAGAGCCCCCTCCTGTTCCCAAACTCCCTCCAGGACCCTGCCCCCACACCCCCTCCTGCACCCCAACCCCCTGCCCCAGCCCAGAGCCCCTTCCCGTACTCAAACTCCCTCCCGGAGCCTGCCCCACACACCCCCTCCTGCACCCCAACCCCCTGCCCCAGCCCAGAGCCCCTTCCCGTACTCAAACTCCCTCCCGGAGCCTCCCCCACACACCCCCTCCTCCACCCCAACCCCCTGCCCCAGCCCAGAGCCCCCTCCTGTTCCCAAACTCCCTCCCGGAGCCTGCCCCCACACCCCCTCCTGCACCCCAACCCCCTGCCCCAGCCCAGAGCCCCCTCCTGTTCCCAAACTCCCTCCCGGAGCCTGCCCCCACACCCCCTCCTGCACCCCAACCCCCTGCCCCAGCCCAGAGCCCCCTCCTGTTCCCAAACTCCCTCCCGGAGCCTGCCCCCACACCCCCTCCTGCACCCCAACCCCCTGCCCCAGCCCAGAGCCCCCTCCTGTTCCCAAACTCCCTCCCGGAGCCTGCCCCCACACCCCCTCCTGCACCCCAACCCCCTGCCCCAGCCCAGAGCCCCTTCCCGTACTCAAACTCCCTCCCGGAGCCTGCCCCACACACCCCCTCCTGCACCCCAACCCCCTGCCCCAGCCCAGAGCCCCCTCCTGTTCCCAAACTCCCTTCCGGAGCCTGCCCCACACACCCCCTCCTGCACCCCAACCCCCTGCCCCAGCCCAGAGCCCCTTCCCATACTCAAACTCCCTCCCGGAGCCTGCCCCACACACCCCCTCCTGCACCCCAACCCCCTGCCCCAGCCCAGAGCCCCTTCCCGTACTCAAACTCCCTTCCGGAGCCTGCCCCACACTCCCCCGCCTGCACCCCAACCCCCTGCCCTAGCCCAGAGCCCCCTCCCTGTTCCCAAACTCCCTCCCGGAGCCTGCCCCACACACCCCCGCCTGCACCCCAACCCCCTGCCCCAGCCCAGAGCCCCCTCCTGTTCCCAAACTCCCTCCCGGAGCCTGCCCCACACACCCCCTCCTGCACCCCAACCCCCTGCCCCAGCCCAGAGCCCCCTCCTGTTCCCAAACTCCCTCCCGGAGCCTGCCCCACACACCCCCTCCTGCACCCCAACCCCCGGCCCCAGCCCAGAGCCCCCTCCTGTTCCTAAACTCCCTCCCGGAGCCTGCCCCCACACCCCCTCCTGCACCCCAACCCCCTGCCCCAGCCCAGAGCCCCCTCCTGTTCCCAAACTCCCTCCCGGAGCCTGCCCCCACACCCCCTCCTGCACCCCAACCCCCTGCCCCAGCCCAGAGCCCCCTCCTGTTCCCAAACTCCCTCCCGGAGCCTGCCCCACACACCCCCTCCTGCACCCCAACCCCCTGCCCCAGGCCAGAGCCCCCTCCTGTTCCCAAACTCCCTCCCGGAGCCTGCCCCCACCCCCTCCTGCACCCCAACCCCCTGCCCCAGCCCAGAGCCCCTTCCCGTAGTCAAACTCCCTCCCGGAGCCTGCCCCACACACCCCCTCCTGCACCCCAACCACCTGCCCCAGCCCAGAGCCCCTTCCCGTACTCAAACTCCCTCCCGGAGCCTGCCCCACACACCCCCTCCTGCACCCCAACCCCCTGCCCCAGCCCAGAGCCCCCTCCTGTTCCCAAACTCCCTCCCGGAGCCTGCCCCACACACCCCCTCCTGCACCCCAACCCCCTGCCCCAGCCCAGAGCCCCCTCCTGTTCCCAAACTCCCTCCCGGAGCCTGCCTCCACACCCCCTCCTGCACCCCAACCCCCTGCCCCAGCCCAGAGCCCCTTCCCATACTCAAACTCCCTCCCGGAGCCTGCCCCACACCCCCTCCTGCACCCCAACCCCCTGCCCCAGCCCAGAGCCCCCTCCTGTTCCCAAACTCCCTACCGGAGCCTACCCCACACACCCCCTCCTGCACCCCAACCACCTGCCCCAGCCCAGAGCCCCTTCCCCGTACTCAAACTCCCTCCCGGAGCCTGCCCCACACACCCCCTCCTGCACCCCAACCCCCTGCCCCAGCCCAGAGCCCCTTCCCGTACTCAAACTCCCTTCCGGAGCCTGCCCCACACTCCCCCGCCTGCACCCCAACCCCCTGCCCTAGCCCAGAGCCCCCTCCTGTTCCCAAACTCCCTCCCGGAGCCTGCCCCACACACCCCCGCCTGCACCCCAACCCCCTGCCCCAGCCCAGAGCCCCTTCCCATACTCAAACTCCCTCCCGGAGCCTGCCCCACACAGCCCCTCCTGCACCCCAACCCCCTGCCCCAGCCCAGAGCCCCTTCCCATACTCAAACTCCCTCCCGGAGCCTGCCCCACACACCCCCTCCTGCACGCCAACCCCCTGCCCCAGCCCAGAGCCCCTTCCCGTACTCAAACTCCCTCCCGGAGCCTGCCCCACACACCCCTCTTGCACCCAAACCACCTGCCCCAGCCCAGAGCCCCCTCCTGTTCCCAAACTCCCTCCCGGAGCCTGCCCCACACACCCCCTCCTGCACCCCTACCCCCTGCCCCAGCCCAGAGCCCCTTCCCGTACTCAAACTCCCTCCCGGAGCCTGCCCCACACACCCCCTCCTGCACCCCTACCCCCTGCCCCAGCCCAGAGCCCCTTCCCGTACTCAAACTCCCTCCCGGAGCCTGCCCCACACACCCCCCTCTTGCACCCCAACCACCTGCCCCAGCCCAGAGACCCTTCCCGTACTCAAACTCCCTCCCGGAGCCTGCCCCACACACCCCCTCCTGCACCCCAACCCCCTGCCCCAGCCCAGAGCCCCTTCCCGTACTCAAACTCCCTTCCGGAGCCTGCCCCACACTCCCCCGCCTGCACCCCAACCCCCTGCCCCAGCCCAGAGCCCCCTCCTGTTCCCAAACTCCCTCCCGGAGCCTGCCCCACACACCCCCTCCTGCACCCCAACCCCCTGCCCCAGCCCAGAGCCCCCTCCTGTTCCCAAACTCCCTCCCGGAGCCTGCCCCACACACACCCTCCTGCACCCCAACCCCCTGACCCAGCCAAGAGCCCCCTCATGTTCCCAAACTCCCTCCCGGAGCCTGCCCCACACACCCCCTCCTGCACCCCAACCCCCTGCCCCAGCCCAGAGCCCCCTCCTGTTCCCAAACTCCCTCCCGGAGCCTGCCCCACACACCCCCTCCTGCACCCCAACCCCCTGCCCCAGCCCAGAGCCCCTTCCCGTAGTCAAACTCCCTCCCGGAGCCTGCCCCACACACCCCCTCCTGCACCCCAACCACCTGCCCCAGCCCAGAGCCCCTTCCCGTACTCAAACTCCCTCCCGGAGCCTGCCCCACACACCCCCTCCTGCACCCCAACCCTCTGCCCCAGCCCAGAGCCCCTTCCCATACTCAAACTCCCTCCCGGAGCCTGCCCCACACACCCCCTCCTGC